GACAGGACTTCGCTGCTCCCTGGGCCCTGGGCGGCTGCGAATTGCGCAATTGTAGCCACTGTCGTTGGCTCTTGGGGGGGGTCCAGAGGAGTCGGGGACCACGCGGGCCCACACGGGACCTCGTTGCTCCCTGGGTGGTCGCGAATTGCCCAATTTGTTGCCGTTGTCCTGGGCCCTTGGGAAGTCCAGCGGAGTCGGGTGGCCGCGAACTGCGCAATTGACGCCGCTTTTGTGGGCTCCTTGGAGGTCCAGCGGAGTCGGGGGCCATGCGGACCCAGACGAGATTTCGCTGCTCCTTGGGTGGCTAGGAACTGCGCAGCCGTAGTTTTTGTTCGTGGGCTCCTGGGAGGTCCAGCGGAGTCGGGGGCCTCGCGGACCCAGACGGGACCTCGCTGCCCCCCCTGGGTGGCTGGGAACTGCGCAACCGTCGCCACTTCCGTGGGCTCCTGGGAGGCACAGCGGAGAGGAGGGCAGCGCTGATCGTGCATATTTGGCGATGTGTTCTTGTGTTTGGAGCGTTCACGCATCGATTCGTCTCGCGTGGAGAAGGTCGACCTCGCGCAGAGGAGGGTAGGGGTAGGGGGAAGGCTTCTTAGAAGCACCCCTGCTTCTTAGAAAGCGCGGGCCTTCTCTGTACATGTGAGGCCGGCGCCTTCTAAGAAGCACCTCCTTCTAAGAAGCCTCCCCCCCCATTTGCTACCCCCCTCTGCGCGCCGCCAAGAAAGGGTTGGGCACGTTTCGGTTATCTTTTGAATGTGGCGAGCCCTTTCGTCGGTCCTCAAGTGTCAGCACGCGCGTGTTGTGCTGTCTATCAGGGCGACTGGTCGAGGGAACGGGGCTCCAGGAGGGGTTGGGGCCGCTCCCTTTGGATTTTACGGCTCGACTTGGGAGAAAAGGCATTCGATCCTTCTTGCGAAGGCCTTGCGGCCCGTGCTGCCAGTGGGACTGGCGGCGACGACGACGACGACGACGACGACGAAGACGACGACGACGCCGACGCCGACGACGACGAGGGCAAAGCCTCTCGCGCATGCCGAAGGGTCGGCGGATGTGTCGTTCCTCGTTTCAGCAGCCAGACTGCTTGAGGTTCCTGGAGAGGCGGGGTCCGCGGAAGACCCGTCTGCATCGTGCCGCGTGGGGTCGTCTCCGGGGGCGTCGTCGATCTTCGGTCTAGGAACGGTGCCGTCATAGCTTAATTTTGCCTTCGGAGCGAAGCAGTTCTGCACAGTACGCGTTGGAGGGGGGCCTGAATCGGCGGCGAGCGAGGTGGGGAAGTGTGAGGGGGCGGGCCCTCTCAGAAGGCTCGGAAGTCCCGCAGCCTTCTGAGAAGTTTTCTGAGCCTTCCCCGAAGACACAGACAACTTCCCAGAAGGCGCGAGGGCTTCTGAGAAGTCCTGCCGCTTTCTGAGAAGGCCTCCTCCTTCTCACAACCCCCGCTCGTTCGCCGCCGATCGAAGGAAGCCCAGAGGCGACGCGTGGCATGGGCGCCGCTCTGGTGGAGGGGGCGTCCTGGCGCTTTCGGGTCAGACGACAGGGGGGGAGAGAGGCACGAGGGGTGTGGTTGCGCTTCCGCCAGACCCACTGGGAGCCAACAGGCTGCGAGGCGTATGCGCTCCTGTTCCATGCAGCAGTTCCCCTTTCCAAGCTGAAAGCTTACGTGATCTCACTTTTTAGGCGTGCGGCTGGTTTTGTCTCTGCCGCCGGGCACTCCGCTCGATGCCTTGGCGCCGCACGGGCGCTGGGAAAAGCAGTTGCGTGAGCTGATTTGCTGACCCACCCTTCCCGACAGGCCTCGGAAAAAATTGCGAACATGCATGCCACATTCAGCGGTCAACGCCTCCCCCTCCCCCCAATTTTCAAAGTTGGCGGTGGGTCTGATGAGTTGCACTTCGACCGCAGGTCTCTCCCGCGCGTGCCAACTTTGAGTTTGGGGGAGCGGGTGAGCGTCCACTAACTATTCTCCCCTGCCAGAACTCCCCCTTCCAGACCGCAGAGGGTGTTTCCTCGATTTCGGCTCCCTGGGCTCCCCCCAGATCCCGCTGCGGTCAAAGCGCGTCTCGTGATGCGAGGCCAGTCCGTGGGAAAACATCCTCGTGGGGCCAGGACCCGTTTCCGCCAGGACCTGTTCTGTTGAGAATCCCGTTTTTCTCGATGGTCCTGCTGGCTGGTCCAATTTGCCCTCTCTGCCATGAATGCAAAGAGCGTGTTTTTATCTCTGGGTCATAACGCCCGTCATGCCCCCCGCCTCCAGCCCCCATAACGTAAAGCTCCCCCCCTCCCTCCCGTAGTGCGCCTCCGGCACTGTCATTGTGATGTTCGCAGGCTATTGCGGTGCTTGCAGGCTACGTTAACGTTCGTCGTCGTGTCCGAGGGACTCGAAGGGCCTGCAGGCGCTTCCAGAGGCCGCCTGGGATATCCTGAGGCCTCCGTAGACATTCAGAGGCCGTCGTCGTCGTCGTCGTCGTCGTCGTCGTCGTCGTCGTCGTCGTCGTCGTCTTGGTCGTGTCGTCGTCGTCGTCATCCCCGTCCCCGTCCCAGTCCCCGTCCCCGTCCCCGTCCCCGTTCCCGTTCCCGTTCCCGTTCTCGTTCCTGTTCCCGTTCCCGTCGTCGTCCCCGTCCCCGTCCCCGACCCCGACCCCGACCCCGTCCTCGTCCTTGTCGTCGTCGTCGTCGTCTTCGTCGTCGTCGTCGTCGTTCCCGCCCCCGTCCCCGCCGTCGTCGTCGTCGTCGTCGTCTTGGTCTTCATCATCGTCCCCGTCCCCGTCCCGTCCCCGTCCTCGTCGCCGACGCCCGCTCCTTGCGTCGACGTCCACGTTGGCTGGCACGACTACTGGTATTATGATTGTATTGACTATTCAAACAAGAATTGGTGCACGACATCTGGTGGCTATGGACCCGGGTGGACGTGGGATACATTATTTGAAGATTATGCATGGGGTGGGCACGATGCATCGACAGCATGCTGCGATTGTGGCGCGGAGCCACCGCCGACGCCGGCTTAACCACCGACGCCGGAGAACCCGCCACCGCCGACGCCGGCTCCACCACCGACACCGGAGAACCTTTCAGAGGATGACAACGAATCGGCTGCCCCCGCGGAGGAGGAGTATGACGAGGCCAAACCACCACTTGCGACGTGGCGTCCATCGTCATGATTGCCGTGCTCAGCTGGCTAATCTGATGCGCAATGTGCGCCAGTCCAATGGTTTGCGGATGTCTGCCGGAACGCATCTGTCTTGTATAAGTTGCCACCATGCCACAGGTCGCAGCTAGTCTGGCGTTTCCTTGCTAACGCGCACTGGTAATTGCTGCAACCCTTTCTGTCCGCATTCTGATCGTCTCTGATTGCAGCAGTTCTGCTGCTACACGTAATTAGCAACGATTCAGTTCCATACACATGCCGCGTCCTCAGTGGTCCCAATATACCTTTCTATCAGGGCATGCAGCTGGCGTGCGCGTCTCATGTACTGGAGTATTGTCGAGGTCGTCGGCGTCCCCGTCCCCTTCCCCGTCCTCGTTCTGGTCGCCGTCGTCGTCGAGGTCCTCGAATGGCCTCCAGATGCCTCCAGAGGTCTCCAGAGACCCCCTTTGGCTTGAGCCTCCAGAGACCTCGGAAGAACTTCAGTAGCGGCCGTCGTCCTTGTCCTCGTCCTCGTCCTTGTCCTCGTCCTCGTCGTCCTCGTCCTAGTCCCCATCCTCGTCTCGTCCCTGTTGTCCTCGTCCTCGTCCTCGTCCTCCTCGTCGTCCTCGTCGTCGTCGCCGAGGGCTTCGAAGGGCCTACAGACGCCTCCAGAGGTCTCCAGAAGCCTGCTTGGGCCTCCAGAAACCTCGGGAGACCAGACCTTCATGGGCGGCCGTCGTCGTCGTCGTCGTCGTTCTCGTCGTTTTCGTCCTCGTCGTCGTCGTCCTCATCCTCGTCGTCGTCGTCGTCCCCGTCCTCGTCCTCGTGGCCGTCCTCGTGGCCGTCGTCGTCGTTATCGTCGTCGTCGTCGTCCGGCGCTCGGGCGCCCTCGTCGAGCAGCAAACACCAGCACAGAAAAGTGCTCGGAGTAGGACGTGAGGGACAACATTGGTGCTACACGTATGCAGTACATAGGCGATGTGGTGCACGCGGATGCGACGGTGCATACTGTGCTACGCATTGTGGTGGTTTCTGGAATGCGCACAGGCGATGCGGTGACGGAACCACACGGCGGCGGGGGGGGCGTTACGTTATGCCTCCCCCGCCCCCCCCCCCCCGCATAACGCCCACTGTGGCCGCGAATAACAATGTGCTCAAAGCGGGTCTTGGGAAAGCCCCGAGGCATCGTCCACGTTTCATGTTAAAGAGCCCACGACACAGGGAGGTCTAGTCTTCTTGAAAGGTTTCAAAGTAGCTTATATGTGGAGCAAGTAGTCGAATATTGAACACGTGGAATGATTGCTCATCATTGCACAAGCAATGAGTGAGTAAGACCATGCCGATGCATGCCAGCCTTCGCAAGGGGAGATGCTGCGCTTGGCGTCCACCCAGCACCTGGGAGCTACGGCAGCTTCGTGATACGCCGGCGCGGAGGTGACACCGGCGCTGGAGTTACAAGGTTGAGAGCCGCCAGTGGCCCCGAGTTGGCCGATGCCGGCAGATCTGCGTTATCGGAAGGCCACGATCTTTCAAAGTTGAACGATCAACAGGCTGTCAGACTCCGACGCAGCAGAAATTGCCGCCGCGGCTCGAGCTTGCCGTAGGCTTGCTGGTCCTCTAAACCCCGATCCTCGCCTTCCCGCTCCTGCGCACCGTCCCGCTTCCCCGCTCCCCCGGTTCCATTCCTCGCCTGATCTGGGCAGGACGCCAATTTGGCGTCCTTCGCGGATCACGCGGAACTTGGCGTCGCCCAGGGTCGGTCGCAGTTTTATTTGGGAGTGGCTTCGTGTCCTCGAGTCGAGGTCCCAGCCTCGGCGTCGAGAGGCTCGGGCCCGCGCCGGCGCTGGCCCCGCGCGGCGGACCAGGCCGCGCCGCCGAGGTCACCGTCACCGACCTCCTCGTGCCCCACACCACCCGGGGTGTGCTGCCGAATGGGCTGCGGTACATCATCCTGGAGCACCAGGTGGGCGCCGCAGAAAGCGGGTGTCGTCTGCGCCGACATCGGCGCGCAAGCTGCCCGCGCAAGGTCTCGCGTGAGCCGCCGCGTAAGGTCGCCGTGCCATCTCGCGCAAGACCTGTTTTTTGATTGTTGCCCAGGCGTCAAGGGAGGACAAATCACCCAGACCCACAGAATTGACGTTTACGAAACTCCACTTCCCTCTTCGATGCCTTCTCTGGGTGCGTTTACCACATGGCTTCTCTTGTCGGGGTAGTTCTTCTTGTGAAGGTAGCTGCTCTGCTCTCTGAGCTGGGCGACGGAAGAAAATAGTGTAGCATCCCGCAGTTGCGGATAAGAGTGCGGGGGCGGGCGCGGGGTGAGTCGCAGGCGGGTCGCGGGTGGGTCGTGGGTGGGTCGTTGTTGCGTCGGGAGCGGGTCGTGGGTGGGTCGCGGGCCGCATCGCGAGTGGGACGACAATAACAGCAATTATGTCAAGACTGCTTGTTTTTTGTAATTGGCTCGCGTGTCATTCCCATGAATATCCCAAACACTCGATACACGCTCTCTTCGTCTTTGATCGTAACCCCCCTTTAGGGCATACCTTAATTTCCTGCCACGCGTAGTTTGCGCAATTCATAAAACAGGGTAAGGGAGAAAGGAGGGAAGAGACAAGGGGGAGGGAGGATAATGGAACACGAGAGAGATTTGCAGCAGGGGGGGCTATGAGCATGAGTACAAGCGGCAAACCGGACGAGCGGGTCGGGCGGGCGGACCCTAACGGGCAGGTCGGACGGGCGGGCCCAAACGTTTGGGTCGAGCGGGCGGGTCGCTGAAGCGTCAATCCAACATGAATCGCAGGGAGGTTTCCAGCGCGAGAGCGTGAGAGCGTCCAGCGCGAGAGCAAAGTAGGTAGTGGGGACATCCAGCGCGAGAGCGTGATTCCTGAGTGTTGGGGGCACGGCGCCGCAATAAATTTCAAGGACGACCCCGGCGAGAGCGCGATCCCTGCGTAAAGTATGAAGAAGTCCCGCGCGAGAGCGCGATGTCTCAATCAACTGTGAGGAAATATTCGGCGAGAGCCGTTGTTTTTGTTGTTGTTGTTGTTGTAGTTGTTGTTGTTGTTGTTGTTGTTGTTGTTGTTGGTGTTGGTGTTGGTGTTGGTGTTGGTGTTGTTGTTGTTGTTGTTGTTGTTGCTGTTGCTGTTGTTGTTGGTGTTGTTGTTGTTGTTATTGTTGTTGCGGTGGTGGTGGTGGTTGTTGTTGTTGTTGTTGTTGTTGTTGTTGTTCGGGGGCTAGGGGCGATAATCTGAGCCGCAAGCTGTTCCCTTTGTGGAAAGAAGGTGCGAGTCCCAGGCGTAGCACTTAAATTGCAAAACGCAGGGTGCACCGGCGGATCAACAATAGTTATCCTGCAAAAGCACGAATTAGACAACAACAGCAATAACAACAGCAACAACAACATTCATTTAAAGACTGTTCGCTCTTATCTGCTCGCGTGCCACTCAATACGTATATCCCGAACCCTCGGTACCCGCCCTCTTCGTCTTCGACCGTACCCTCTTGAGGGTATATCTCTCTTACCTGCAACGTGTATTTCGTGCAGCCCCTGGGGCAGGGGAAGAGAGGACGGATGGAAGGAAGGACAAGGGGGAGGGAGGAGGAAGGAGCACCAGAGAGACTAGGAGGGGAGCTAGGAGCAGAAAACACTTGGCAGAATTAGACGGGCAGATCGGGCGGGTAGACCCTTCAGGCGGGTCGGGAAGGAGGGCCCGGGCGGCCAGGTCTAGCAGGCGGGTTGCTCAAGCGTGCGTCCTGCGTGAATCGCGAGGAAGTCTCGAGCGACAGCTCGATTCACAAATCAATCGTGAGGCAATTCACAGCGAGAGCGTGTTTCGTGAATGTCGAGGGCGCAGCGTCTGAATACATTGCGAGGAAGTCCCATGCGAAAGCGTCCCGTGCGAGACCGCGATTTGGGAAGACACTGTGAGGACGTATCCGGCGGGAGCCGTTGTTGTTGTTGTTGTTGTTGTTGTTCTTGTTGTTGTTGTTGTTGTTGTTGAACTCTCATTCTTGAAGAATATATTTATTGTTGATCCCCCCCCACCGGTGCACATTGATTTTTTTCGATTGAAGTGCCACCCCCGGGGCTCGCACCTTGTTTTTTCTCAAGGAAAGTCTTCCTGCTCAAACTGTGCCCCTGCCCCCCGGGCTACAACAACAACGGCTCCCGCCTGAGACTTCCTCGATTTTTACTCAGGACCCCCGCTCCCGCCTGAGACTTCCGCGCAATTTACTCAGGAGAGGCGCTCCCGTCTGAGACTTCCTCGCAATGTAATCAAGACCCCCGCTCCCGCCTGAGACTTCCGTGCAATTTACGTGGGAACGGCGCTCCCGCCTGAGACTTCTTCGAATTTTACTCAGGACCCCCGCTCCTGCCTGACATTTCCGCGCAATTGACTCAGGAACGGCGCTCCCGCCTGAGACTTCCTCGCAATTTAGTGAGGACCCCCGCTCCCGCCTGAGACTTCCGTGCAATTTGCTCAGGAACGGCGCTCCCGCTTGAGACTTCCTCGCAACTTAGTCAGGGCCCCCGCTTCCGCCTGAGATTTCCTCACAATGTACTCAGGACTGCGCTCTCGCGTGCGACGTCCTCACAAATTATTCTGGAATTGCGTTTCGGCGCTCAGGAACCACGCACGCGCCAAGGACGCCTTCACAACGTGGTATCTTCCCTCTTCCTTCGTCCTTCCCCCTCCCCTTCCTCCCACTCTCCCTCGTTCTTCCCCTCCTCCTCTTGCAGGGCCCGCGCCAATTCCAATGGCGGGCAGAGAGATGTACGCCCCCGAAGGATTGTCCGCCCGTTCCGGTTTGCCCGTACGTCTAAGCCCGCCGGCCCCAGCAAAGAGAAATAATCCCCCCGAAAGGGGTGTGATCGAAGACGAAGAGGGCGGGTATCGAGGGTGTAGGGTATACGTGTTGTGACTCGCGGGCAAGTAAGAGCGTACAGCCTTAAAATGGTTGTTGTTGTTGTTGAAGATTATTATTTCTAAAGAATAATTATTGTTGGGGCCCCTGGTGCACGACCCCCCCGCCGCGCCTAGGCCGCAGCCTCATTTTCATTATTTTCGTGAGGAAGTCTCAGGCAAAACGGGGGAATCCGGATCCGGTTGTGTTGTTACGATCGGTTTTCCCTTGCAAAAAATAAGCTAAAGTTGACATTTCTTGTTCTAACATAACCAAACTTCAAGAATCCCTTGCAAAAAATAAGGTAAAGTGGACATTCGCGCGCGCAAGACGAAATCCTTCCAAAACCTTAGTTTTCGTAGCGATTTTAACATAAAAACATCAAAAAACCAATGGTTTTTCAAAAAAAATTGTCAAAATTTCATCCCGCGCGCTCTTGCGGATTCGTAGGAAACCCAACACTTTTTAATCATTTCTGTCAAACGGGCTTTTGCGAGCAACTTTTTCGAACTTCTGCAACAACGGTTGCGCACCTGCCAGGGCCATCATCCCTGTCAAATAATACCATGCGGGACACATTCGTTTTTTCTTCGCGCGCGCACGCCGTCGTCGTCGGCCGCGGGGCCCTGAATAGTAGCCACGGTCGTCCGCATGCCACGAAGTGAAGTGTCCGAACGTCATAGGGCGGGAAGCTGGGTGTGGGTGGTGGCGAAGAGTCGTTTGGAAATTTGGTAGAGCTTGAACCGGCCCCCCCACAAAGTGGGGGTATTGCCCGCCTCCTATGAAAACCCTGGCACTGGTGAGAACGGAGTGTCCCCACGTGCTAGTAATTGTTGTTGTTGTTGTTGAACATTATTTATTCTAAAGAATAATTATTGTTGGGCCCCCTGGTGCGCGCCCCCCCTGCGCCGCCTAGGCCGCAGCTACATTTTCATCATTTTCGTGAGGAAGCCTCAGAAAAGAGGGTGTGTACAGGATCCGGTTGTTTTGTTGTAATCCGCTTTCCCTTGCAAAAAACAATAGAAAATGACATTTCTTGTTCTAATATAATCAAATTTCAAGAATCCCTTGCAAAAAATAAGGTAAAGTGGACATTCGCGCGCGCAAGACGAAATCCTTCCAAAACCTTAGTGTTCGCAGCGATTTTAACATAAAAACATCAAAAAACCAATGGTTTTTCAACAAAAAAATTGTCAAAATCTCATCCCGCGCGCTCTTGCGGATTCGTAGGAAACCCAACACTTTTTAAACATTTCTGTCAAACGGGCTTTTGCGAGCAACTTTTTCGAACTTCTGCGACAACGGTTGCGCACCTGCCAGGGCCATCATCCCTGTCAAATAATACCATGCGGGACACATTCGTTTTTTCTTCGCGCGCGCACGCCGAAATCTCCAAAAACCATTGGGCTTCTTAAGAATTTTAGCACCGCGCATCATAAAATCACACGAATCGCACCGTAGGTCCTCGAAAAACACCTGCACGACTTTTCAAAATTTCTACCCGCGCGCGCTGTCCGAATCCTAAAAAAACCAATGGTTTTCCAACATTTATGTTACATGAGCTCGCGCGAGCTACTTTCGCACGCTCTTGCAACGGGGTTCGCGCGCCTGCCAGGGGCCACAATCCCTTGCGGTTGCGCCATAGGTTGCGCCCTCGGCCGCCGAGAATAAAACGTCCCCCTATTGGTTGCGCCATAGGTTGCGCCCTCGGCCGCCGAGAATAAAACGTCCCCCCATAGGTTGCGCCATGGGTGTACGAACGTAGGCTTAACAACTTCTGTGGGTGTGTACTCCACGCCAGTGTAGTAGCCACGGTCGTCCGCAGGCCACGAAGTGAAGTGTCCGAACGTCATAGGGCGGGAAGCTGGGTGTGGGTGGTGGCGAAGAGTCGTGTGGATATTTGGTAGAGCTTGCACTGCCCCCCCACAAAGTGGGGGTATTGGCTGGCGTCGCATGAAAACCCTGGCACTGGTGAGAACACTGAGCGTTCGGGTAAAGTGATTGTTGTTGTTGTTGTTGTTGTTACGAAGTGAAGTGTCCGAACGTCATAGGGCGGGAAGCTGGGTGTGGGTGGTGGCGAAGAGTCGTATGGAAATTTGGTAGAGCTTGAACCGGCCCCCCCACAAAGTGGGGGTATTGCCCGCCTCCTATGAAAACCCTGGCACTGGTGAGAACGGAGTGTCCCCAGTCTTAAATGATTGTTGTTGTTGTTGTTGTTGTTTGGGGGGCCAGGGGCGCGGTTTGAAGAGGAAGATTTTCCCGGACCGAAAATACATGGTGCGAGCTTCTGGAAGGGCATTCCTCATCGAAAAACGCATATGTTACCGGAGGGGGGATCAACCGTATTTATTCTTCAGTAGTGCGGGTTCAAACACGAAAATAACAATACATTAACAACAAGCAAACAATAACAACAGCACAACCACCACCAACAACACAACAACAACACCAACGACACCACCACCATCAACAACATCAACACTCACAACAACACCAACAATTGCAACACTCATTTTAGTACTGTTCGCTCTTATTTGTTCGAGTGCCAATCCACACGCTTATCCCAGGCCCTCGATACCCGCCTTCGCCGTCTTCGCTCGCACCCCCTTGGGCGTGCATCTTTCTACTTGCAACGTGTATTGTGTTCAGCCCTCAAGGTAGGGGAAGAGAGGGCGGATGGAAGGAAGGGACAGGGGACGGAGGAGGATGAAGCACGAGAGGGAGTAGCAGGAGGGAACCAAGAACAGAAAACATTTCGCAGAACCAGGCGGACAGATCATGTGGGTAGACCCTAACGGGCGGGTCGGGAAGGTAGGCCCAGGCTGCCAGGTCGAGCAGGCAGGCTGCTGAAGCGTGCGGCCTGAATGAATCGCGAGGAAGTCTCGAACGGCAGCGCGATCCCCAAGTAAATCGTGAAGCAGTCCACAGCGACAGCGCGATTCCGGAGTGCCGATGGCGCGGCGTTTGAATCAATTGTGAGGAAGTTCCGCGCGAAAGCGCTATGCTTGCATACATTGTGAGGACGTCCCGCGCGAGAACACGATTTCTCGACGTTTGTGAGGAAGCATCGGGCGGGGGCCATTGTGAGTGCAACTCGTGGGCTAAGGGCCCAGCATGGTGACATTATAACTCCCCCCTGGCCCCGGGAGGAGCGCTTGAATTGAAAAATGGAATGGTCACCAGAAGAGGGGGGGAACAATAAACAGTCTCTAGAAGAATGAAGAGGTAACCGACACCAGCCACAACAATCATTTTGAAGCTGTTCGCTCCTATCTGCCCGTGGGCCATTCACCACGGTATATCCCAAACCTTCGGTACCCGCCTTCTCCGTCTTCGATTGTACCCCCTTGAGGGCATATTTTCCTTACCTGTCACGTATAAGTAGCGAAGGCCCTGAAACGGGGGAGGAGAGGACGGAAGGAAAGGAGAGAGAGGAGGAATTAGCACGAGAGGGAGTAGCAGGATGGGGGGGTAGGAGCAGAAAACACGTGGCAGAACCAGACGGGCAAATCGGGCGGGCAGGCCCTAGCGGGCAGGTCGGGAAGGCGGGCCCACGCGGCCAGGTCGAGCAGACGGTTTGCTGAAACGTGAGTCCTGTATGAACCGCGAGGAGGTCCCGAGCGACTGCACGATGCCCAAGTAAACCGCGAGAACTGCCGAAGCGAAAGCGTGATTCATGAGTGTCGAAGGCGCGGCGTCTGCATACATTGCGAGGAAGTCCCACGCGAGAGCGTGACACCTGCATACACTGAGGAAGCGCCGCGCGAGGTTGCGATATTGCAATACACGAGGGGGAAAGTATCAGGCGGGATCCGTTGTTGTTGTTGTTGTTGTTATAAGTCGCCCACTCTGAGCCTCCAGGCTTTGCCGGGTAAAAAACAAGGTGTAAGCCCCAGGCGGCGCAGTTGAGTTGAACAACTAAAGTGGTTTCTGGAGGGGGCTATTGAACGTTGTGAGTTCGAAATAAAAGTTCAACAACAACAGCAATCATTTTAAGACTGTTCGCTCGTATCCGCTCGCGTGCCATTCAACATGTATATCCCACACCCTCGATACCCGTCCTCTCAGTGTTCGATCGTGTTGATTCGCGGGCGTGTTATATCTCTATATGTATGTATGTATGTATATATATATATCGATATATATATATATATATATATATATATATATATATATATCACTTGTAACATGTATTTCGTGCAGCCCCTGAGGCAGGGGAAGACAGGCCGGATGGAAGGCATGGACAAGGGGGAAGGAGGAGGAAGATGGAGCACGACAGAGAGTAACAGGATGGGTTAGGAACAGAAAACACGTGGCATCACCAGATCGGGCGCTAGACACTAAAGGGCGGGTCGGGAAGGCGGGCCCGCGGGTCGAGCAGGCGGGTTGCTGAAGCGGCCAGGTCGAGCAGGCGGGTTGCTGAAGCGTGCGTTCTGCATGAATCGCGAGGAAGTTTCGAACGACAGCGTGATTCCCGAATACATCGTGAAGAAAGCCATAGCGAGAGCGTGATTCCTGAGTGCCGAGGGCGCGGCGACCAATACATCGTAGAGAATTCTTACGCGATAGCGCGATTCCCGCATACATTGTGAGGACGTCCCGCGCGAGAGCGAGATTTGGAAATACATCGTGAGGAAGTCTCAGGCGGGAGCCGCTGTTGTTGTAAACCGAGGGGCCAACAACTTCATTCCGATACCCAATATTTTTAGCAACAAACAGTGCGAGCCCCTGGAAGGGCATTCCAATTGAAAAACACATAGTCTCTTTGAGAGGGGGATCAACAGTGTTGATCCTTTGAACATGAGGATTCAACAACAGCAACAACCATATGATCAATATTGTTCACATCTACTCGCGTGCCATCCAACACGTGTATTCGAAATATTCGGTATCTGGGCTTTTCGTCATCGATCTTACCCCGTTGTGGGCATATTTTCCTTACCTGCCACGCGCATTTAGCACAGCCCCTAAAGAAAACGAAGAGAGGACGGACGGAATGAAGGAGGGAGTTGGATGGAACACGAAAGTGATTTGCAGGAGGGGGGTTCGGAAGAGAAGACGCGTGGCAGAATCAGACGGGCAGATCGGGCGGGCAGACCCTAGCGGACGGGTTGGGAAGGCAGGCCCAAGCGGCCAGGTTGAGCAGGCGGGTTGCTGAAGCGTGCGTCTTGCATGCATGACGAGGAGGTCTGAAGCGACAGCGAATTCGCACAGAAATCGTGAATTGCAAAAGCGACAGCGTGATTCGTGAGTGTCGAGGGCGCGGCGTCTGAAAAACATGTGAGGAAGTCCCACGCGAGAACGCGATCCCAGCACACAGTTTGACGAAGTCCAGCGCGGAAACGCGATTGTGATATACATTGTGGGGAAGTACCAGGCGGGTCCTAATTTGGTGGCCAGGGTCCTAATTTGGTTATTCCAGATTTTCTCGGATAGTAAACCAGGTGCGAGCCCCGGGAGGAGCACTTCAATTGCAAAACGCAATGATCACAATGAACACAATGATCACCTCAGCCACGCACCGAGGGACAGTGCATGATCGTTCGGCCCCCTCATTCAGACTTGTTCTGGATCGGGCCTCAAGCGAAAGGAAGAGGCGGCTGAGCGTTTTGCCCTCTGGGGGCTCTTCGGGCCAAGCTGCTTACGGTGCAGCATCGAACTAGCATCGTCGACGATGGGACCGGAGACGGAGCGGAGAGACGCAGTGTGCAGTGGGGGGGTCCGAACAAACACCACTGCGCGCTGCGCCGACGAAGGAGCGTAAGCTTCCCGCGTAAGGCAGCGCGTGAGGACCCCCCTCCTCTCCGCTGCGGTGTGCAGCGCCGGCGGCCCGCGCAAGCCGCGGCGTGAGGTCGCGATGCCCCCATCGGGGAAAAAGGGCCCCTCGTGTTTTCGACGCTCAGGTGCCCCCCGGCCGGGTGGAGGCGCACCTGGAGATGCACGTGGGCTCTTTGGAGGAGCGGGGTGGCCGCCCTCGCGGGCGGGCCCGCAGCCGCACTGTGGCCGGGCCCCCCATCTTGGCATCGCTCGGACGTGTGCAGTTTTCATCGGCGAGGGCCATCGAGGAGCATCCTGGGCCATCTCGCGGAGCAAAAATGCGCGCACGAAGCCGAAGCATGCAGGGGGGATGGACGCCCGTGCGGCGGAGAGCCATGCGACCCCCTCGTAGATTTAAGTCGGGCCTTACAGGGGGACTTCCTACGAAAAATAAATAATACCCAAAACATAGCCCAAAAATAGTCCAAAAATAGTCTGGGGACTATTTCTTTTAATATGTTTTAACCTTTTGGGGGCATTTTCGGGGTATCTTTTATTGTTCGTCGACAATCCCCCCGTAGGGGGACACGCCCGACATAATCGTAGATGCCGGAGCGGCCATTCGGCCGTGCCTTCCGGGGGGGTGGTGATGACGAGGAGGGCGAGCAGTGACGGCGCAGCCGCTCCCACGCCAGCATCCAATGGCACCCACCGAGTGCAACGTTCAATACATTTCGAACACTGGGCGAGGGCTGCTGAAACCGTGGCTGCTAAAACAGCCCTCCCAGAAGGAGAAAACAACTTCCCGGAATGAGGCGCGGCACGCGAAACAGTCTACGGGCTTCTTCCCGGAAGGACGAAGACAACTTCCCAGAGGTCGATTTTAGCAGCAACGGATTTAGCAGCCCTTGCCCGGCTTCCGAACATTGACGATGTCGCTTGGGTGTTCCCACGAGGATGGCGGGCAGTGTCGGCGCGATTGCATCCAAGCCATCGTGTACCTGCAGACAGCTCGTGTCGCGTCGACGAGGCGCCGACCTCAGCATGGGCATTCAGGGTTGCTCGCCGCCAGTTGCTTGAAATCTGCCGACATCGAAGGATATGCATAATTGGAAGGCCGCGATCATTGCAGGTTGAACGATCCACGTGGTGTGAGAAACAAACGCCGACGTTGTCAAAACACGAATCTGACGTAATATGGCCAGCATGGCTCGGGAAGG